TATTTTATAACCTGTGTTTTAAAAACCTTTATTGGTGTAAATCTGAGGATGGCACCCCCTGTATTATTCTCAAATTTCTCACCCCCTTATTATTTTATGTTAATTATGATAATTATGTTATCCTCCCCCCCCCCCCCCCCCCCTTCCATTATGATTCTGAGATACACTGCTGCAATATAAAGTACATTGGTTATTGTAGAGAGAGCTACTGTGCAATGAGAAATAACATAATAGATATGGTATTAGCTACTGAAATGAAGCAACATTTTGAACATTGTTCAAAGTTTGTGAATAGTATTAATAAAGTTATATCTGCTGAAGATGAAACGAGGTCATTGGTGAGTTGCTTTAAGCTTTGCTTACACCGATATCACATAGGACCAATTCCACATTATCATAAATATTCTGATACCACAGCCACTGTTTCTGAGAGTTGACCCAACGTCAACCTATATCACCTATCCTTGCTTGTGCCTCGCTATATGAATATCTCCTTGAAGGGGTTAACGTATTTCGGACTGTGTAGATGTCAATACTTGTCTCTAAGGCTTGGATTGACTTTTAATGGCTAAGTGGGCAGCAAGTTGGATTGTCTTTTTCTAGGCCTTTAGGTGCCCTAGGTTCAAATCTTCAAGGTCAGAAACAATTCTAATACTATGGCCAGTGCTTCCGTTAGATGTCTCAATATCACCTTTTGTTAGCATTTGCCAATATTCATGACATAACTTAGAAATGATCATCTTTATATCAAGAAAAATAGGATTTTATTTCTTAGTGGAGATCTTCAAAGCATTTTCAAATATTCTACTTTATGTTAATTTAGTCAAATATAAAAGAACAAATTTGTTTATTTTTACGTTTATGCATTATAGTTAATTTATATGTAATATACATATTTCAGACTAGTCAATGTTCTCAAGACAGTACACCAGTATCTGGTAAATTATCATTACCAGAAAACAGAACACTTATTAAAAGGATGTTGATTAAATGTGCAGATGTATCGAATCCGGTCCGTCCATTAAATCTCTGTATAGAATGGGCTAAACGTATTGCTGAGGAATATTTTGATCAAGTAAGTTATTTTTTGCTTCATTGTTTTTTTTCTTTTATAAAGACAATATTTTATTCTATATTTGATGATCTGAGTTTGAAAGTTAATCTTGAGACTCTGCCTTATATTGAAAAAAAATATATAGAAATAGAATGTAAAATTCCTAGTTTGAGGTATATTTCAAGGAATTATGCGATTTTGGTACATTTGAGTACAGTCAAGACCAAAATTAATGCCCGAAAATGGCAAACCTGTTCCTTTAAAGGAATACTGAAACAAATAATAATGTCACTTACTATTGCTAAAACGGCTAATTATATCTGAAGATGTTTGCGTTATCTAATTCAGATAACATTAAAATGGAGTGGAAGACCCACAGACGTCTGATTGAAAATTGGAATGGTGCTAATCAGTGTTCCCCGATACACACGAAAAAATGATAAACCCCTTTAAATTCCCATTAATTTAGTCATAGTGTCAAGATATTTTGTTGTTTTATTTGTAGACTGATGAAGAAAAGAGTCGTAATTTACCTGTAGTTATGGCTGTATTCGATAGAAAAACTTGTAGTATACCTAAATCACAAACAAGTTTTATTGATGTTTTTATTAATAACATGTTTGATGCTTGGGACTGTAAGTCACATATTTCTATTGTTATTATTTGTTACATCCTAGAAACAATCTCTTGAAGTATTATTATTTTGCAAAAAATAAATAAAGACGTCTTTGTTATTAGATAACTAACTATCTTTGTTAACCTGATTAAAGGAAATTTTGTTTTAACATTTGATATAACTTAATTCCACCTGAAATCACCTCAGTCATGGTTCAATTTAAATGGTTTAGCAGTTAGTCAGTCAATATGACTCCTTCTCTGCTTTCATATTTCCTAAGATTAGCCAAAATTGAAATTTATCACAACGATCTTCAAATCAAATCAAATATTTATATTTTTTGTGAGAATTATGGATAATTCTGGAAAGATCAATGCCAAGATGTTTGGTTAAGGACCAGCTGGTAGAAAGGATCCTTAACTGTGAACCTATGTTGTTATTCTTGTAAAATATAATTTTTTTCTTTCTAAATATAGTCTTATTTTACTGGTGAAATGAAGATTATTTTTTTGAAATATTCTTTTTCAGATTTCTGTGACTTGTCAGTTTTGATGACAAATTTACAAGAGAATTACTTATACTGGAAGGAACAGGAGGAATTGAAACATCAGGAAGAATCGGAAACAGATGAGGAGCTAGATAGTCGTGGTGAAAATCAGGAGGAAGCACGCGATGAAACATGAATTATTGTGTGAAATTATTAAATGTGTTAAAGTTCTTCTTTTGTGCTGCTCTTCATCACCTTGACAACATTCTTATCAAATGTGTTGCATTTACATACATACTGAATTTCAACAACATACACATTATACTAGAACACATGAAAAACCACAGGGCAAATATTCTTAATCTTAATTATGTGTAAATATATTATATATAGTCATTGACACACAATTCTCAGTTAGAGAAAAGATTTATGTGAATACTTAAACTCATATATGGACAGAAATAATGATAGGATTGTAGGTATCTTTTTGAAGGAAATAACTCGGATTCATGATGTATATAAAAAGACTTGGACTGTAGTAAATTATGAGTGTCTCGTTTGAAGGAAGGAAGGAGATACATGAGTGTAACTGTAGTAAATTATAAACATCTTGTTGGGAGGAATGATAGAGATACATTATTTATATCTACAAAGAAAGACACTGTAGTAAATTATAAACATATTGTTTGAAGGAAGGAGATACAATAGTGTAACTGTAGTAAATTATAAACATATTGTTAGAAGGAAGGAAGGAGATAACATGAGTGTAACTGTAGTAAATTATAAACATCTTGTTGGGAGGAATGATGGAGATACATTATTTATATCTACAAAGAAAGACACTGTAGTACATTATGAACATCTTGGGAGGAAGGAAGGAGATACATGACTGTAACTGTAGTAAATTATTAACATATTGTTTGAAGGAAGGAAGGAGATACAATAGTGTAACTGTAGTAAATTATAAACATATTGTTAGAAGGAAGGAAGGAGATAACATGAGTGTAACTGTAGTACATTATAAACATCTTGTTGGGAGGAATGATGGAGATACATAATTTATATAAACAAAGAAAGACACTGTAGTACATTATAAACAACTTGTTCGTAGGAAGGAAGTAATGAAGGAGATACAGGCTAAGTTATACATGTACATACATACAAAGGATTAGATTGTAGTGAATAATGAACATCTTGATGGAGGCATGAAGGAGATATATAAGTTACGTATACAATTTATGTTATTGATGATATAAATACAGAGAAAGACTTGGTCTATAATGAGTTATAAACATCTTGTTCAACTGAAGAGAGATGACTCTGTTGAGATTGTTGTATTTATAACATTATGTATTATACTGAAAGACAATTCATATTAACTGTGTATTAAGACACTAAACAATGCAGACTTATAAACAGGACAATGATTATAAATACATATATCTATTATATTTATATCATTAAAAAACAGTTTATTAGAACTTTATGTACATGAATAAAATTTATATGAATACTTTATGTACATGTATAAGATTTAGATAGAAACATATATATATATTGAACCATAGTTTCGTAAACTATATACCTATTGGCCTCTTTTTGGAAGGTTTAAACCAAGAAGGTTTTGAAATAGTTATAATTATTATTTGTGATAGTTTATATTTGTTGTTTTGTTATGTATTTAAATTATAGAGAAGATAATGGCATTAATTTGTAATTTACCTTCAAACAAACCTCAATAGGAATTTAAGGATTGTTTTATTTGTTAATTTCTACATTTGAATTTTATTTTGTAAAATGGGGTGTATTCTGCACAAGTAGACTTGTTCAATCTGGAGATGTTTGTGTTCTGTTATGAATCGTGATCTTTAAGGGATTTTAAAAAGGTTTTCTAAATTTTGTATGTGTAGCAGGGACACTGATGGCATCAATGGAATCTATGCTGTCTGTCCCTGAAAAACATGAATAATTGAGAAAACCTCTTAAAAATCCCTTTAAAGTTGGCAGGCATTGTTCAATTGTTGACGTCAGAAAGTTGCTGCGTAAAATTGCAATCGTGTAATGAAATATAAATCTTTGCAATTTAGAGACACCTGTTTGAAAAGGTCATACACACACATACTCTAAAGTATTAGTAAGTTTACAGAACTGGGCTCAGTTTTTCATAAAAATGTGCAATTAATTTTTGTTGACATTAAATTTTAAGACTGATTGTAAAATATTTGAAAAACAGAGCCCCAAATGTCTTTTCATCATAAGCTCATTGTATTATGTTTTATTATTTCTAAGTGCTATTTATTGTAATTTTTTAAAATTTCTTAGCTCAATTTTATTTCATTTTTCTACAAACTAACCATCCTTGTGAATGTGTTAAATTTTTCTTGTAATGTTTACGTAGAGTAGTGAATACAGTATTCAGTTTTCTCCTGCTCAAGTATATAATTTTCCCTTTTCATAAATATTTTTCTTGGTATTTAATTTCTTATTCTACAGATTATCTTCAGTGTTTTTCTTGGGTTTTTGTCAGCCCCTTTATTGATATCAGACTAATTTATATTGATTCTGCAATTTTATTTATTTTTGTTTTTTTTTGATACAGTACTACAAAAGTGTAAGTGACAAAGATATTCATGCACATCAAGGTATGAATTTCAACTCGTGTAGAGGTTCTATTTGGTTCTTGTCATTGTCCCTGGGACCAGACCAATTTATTCTCTTTTGTTTTAGGGAATTTGTCTTGACAAATCTGTTAAGGCAAGAGAAAAGAATAAGAACGAAAAAAGACCATATTTGTGTAATGGACAGGAGAAAAAGAAAATTTCACACGAAAGCCAGGACTGTCCTAGATTATCCCCCTTTCTCAGTATTGATTTAATCATAAATCATAAATTTTAATAAGTTTTTTTTATCAGGAATGAAGGGTTTTTTGTAAGTTTTTTTCCAACAGAGCTGTTTCTGTTTTTGGTTCTGGAAAATTGAGGTAAGAGGATCCATAAAACAAAAAAGTAAATTGGACTGGCCTGGATGTCCATAAAGACTGTTGTCTAATATCTTGTTAATGTTCTGACTGCTGTCTTTTTGTTAATCTTACAACTGAAATAGAATATGACAATCCTTGTGGCAAACTGGGATCTATTTCTTTTTTTTATTCAAATACAGTGGGGGATATATTAAAGAAATGAAATTGTAATTAAATTTATAAAATTAAACTCTAAGACTGTAATTTATCTTTAAAATTTTAATTTGTAAATATTAAATGTAAATTATGATTGCAAATAATTTAACGTTAAATGACTATAGATTTCTATTCTTGTACCTTTATTTCAAATACTAGTTTAACTGTCTATTTACAGATATACCTAGGTCCAGATTTACTTAGAGTAGCAGTCAAAGTAATAGCTACCGGCTAATATCCCTCAGTGTTGTCTGAAACACCTTGGCTAAGTTTATCATATAGAATCATAGGGGATTTTAAGAGGATTCAGTGTAGGAAAAAATCAAGTAACAGCTCTATTTCAAAACAAAACACAAGACAATATTATGGAATATAACACACTTCTTTAATAAGGTTAGGCACATAACGTTTCAACACAATATACATGTGTCATCATCAGATGTAATGGCATGTGTATATTGTGTTGAAATGTTATGATCCAAACCTTATTAAAGAAGTATGTTATATTCCATAATATTGTCTTGTGTTTTGTTATATATCTCATATGGGTTGTAATCCAAACCCTAGGTCAAGTTGGACCATTTTGATGAGAACTCTTTCTAGTTCTGTTTAACCAGTAAGTTCTTTATATAGACATAACATAAAATATTATATAGATATCACAATATAATATTCATTGTTGTGATAACATGATAATGTTATGTTTGTATACATCCAGCTACTACCATAGACTGAAAGATATAGGATGATATATGAAAATAAGATACAAGAATATATATGATTGTTATCAATGATACATTTGACTGTATATATAATGTATTTGTTATATTTTGTATATAGAAGAAAAGTTGAAACATATATATATATTGTTTTTGGATTTCAACAATATTAGACGGTATTTCAAAGTTGTGTTTGAAATGAATTAGAGCATAAGTTAGGCTTTTTGTATTGTTTCTTTTTTTATAATGTGTCTTTCAGAATCTTGAGCTAGTTGTTATAATGATGTGCTTTTCTTATTTCAATAAGAATGAGTCCTTATGTTGGTGTTTTTTTCAGAAATAATTTGACTGCATTATTCTTTTATTACATTTTGTTACCTGTATAATAATTAACATTGTTGACTAAAAGATTTATTTACATGCAGCAACCAGCTCACAATGTACAGCAATTTTGAAATTCATCTTATACCTTGACTTCAACACCAACTATTCTTGCATCACAAAAGTTTGTGAACACAGTGACTTGATTGGATTGTATGCTAGTTAATATATCCAATCAGAGCACCCTACAGAGAGCTCTGATTGACTGTATTCACTGGCATACTATCCAATCAAATTGCTGCATTCAGTGATACAACAACAGTGGCTATTGCAGTCAAGGTATATGAAGAAGTTCTGTCCGACAAGTTTCACCAAAATGCATCTTGTAAAAGGGATTGTTAACTTGTTTATGTGTATAGGGCCACTGATGGCATTGATTTGCACCATTCCTATTAGAGGTCTGGTTCCTGCAATTCCACTCAAACCAAGTGTTTGATGACGTCACTAATTGCAAAATATGCTTCATCACAAAAGGCCCTTGGCGATAGTGACAGACTCAGGTGTCTGATCGAAAATGAGAATGGTGCAAATAGATGCTATCAGTGACCACATGTTCATTAATAAACCACCTTGTGAAGGGAAGTTATACATTGGTATAGGTTATTACTACATCCTCAAACAATAACATCCTGATCTGTATTTTACTCTGATATTTTACTCTGTCAAGCATTCAAATCTGTATCCCCTAAAATTTTGAATAATTACTTATTAGATTTATTATATAATTTTTTTTAAGTTATCAAGATTTGTTGAAATCATCCAATTTGTAGTTTACAGTAATGCATATTTGGAACATTTTTGGTTGCTCAAAATAATATTTAATGTACTATTTAGTTCCTTATATGGTTAATATTTGTCAGATAAAACCTCCTTTCTATAGAAGGTTGTGAAATAAAAATAAAAACTTTAATTATTGTGATCTTTGTTTTACCAATTTGCTTTCATTGTTTTTCCTTTGTATAAGTTGGCATATCTATGGTTTATGTCAATTTTTCCAAAATACCATTTTTTTTATTTTTCCACATTTACCAGAGGGTAAAAAGGGGTGCACATTGTACATGCTTGCACACTATATTCATGATTAAACAGTAAACCAGTGTTGTCAACTGTGGTCTTTGAGGGATCTTCAATTCACACAGCCTGTAACACAACTTTCACAGTCTTTATTCAATGATAACTCTTCATTCAATAACTCTTCATTCAATGATAACTCTTCATTCAATAACTCTTTATTCAATGACTCTTCATTCAATAACTCTTCATTCAATGATATCAACTCTTTATTCAATGATATCAACTCTTTATTCAATGATATCAACTCTTTATTCAATGATAACTCTTTATTCAATGACAACAATTCTCTTTTCAATGATATCAACTCTTTATTCAATGATATCAACTCTTTATTCAATGATAACTCTTCATTCAATGATAACTCTTTATTCAATGATAACTCTTCATTCAATGATATCAACTCTTCATTCAATGATATCAACTCTTCATTCAATGATATCAACTCTTCATTCAATGATATCAACTCTTCATTCAATGATATCAACTCTTCATTCAATGATATCAACTCTTTATTCAATGATATCAACTCTTCATTCAATGATATCAACTCTTCATTCAATGATATCAACTCTTTATTCAATGATATCAACTCTTCATTCAATGATAACTCTTTATTCAATGATAACTCTTTATTCAATGACAACAATTCTCTTTTCAATGATATTAATACTTCATTCAATGATAACTCTTTATTCAATGATAACTCTTTATTCAATGATATCAACTCTTTATTCAATGATAACTCTTTATTCAATGACAACAATTCTCTTTTCAATGATATCAACTCTTCATTCAATGATAACTCTTTATTCAATGATAACTCTTTATTCAATGATATCAACTCTTTATTCAATGATAACTCTTTATTCAATGACAACAATTCTCTTTTCAATGATATCAATACTTCATTCAATGATAACTCTTTATTCAATGATATCAACTCTTTATTCAATGATAACTCTTTATTCAATGATATCAACTCTTCATTCAATGATATCAACTCTTTATTCAATGATAACTCTTTATTCAATGATAACTCTTTATTCAATGATATCAACTCTTCATTCAATGATATCAACTCTTTATTCAATGATATCAACTCTTCATTCAATGATATCAACTCTTTATTCAATGATATCAACTCTTCATTCAATGATATCAACTCTTCATTCAATGATATCAACTCTTTATTCAATGATATCAACTCTTCATTCAATGATATCAACTCTTTATTCAATGATATCAACTCTTTATTCAATGATAACTCTTCATTCAATGATAACTCTTTATTCAATGATAACTCTCTTTTCAATGATATCAACTCTTCATTCAATGATATAACTCTTCATTCAATGATATAACTCTTCATTCAATGATAACTCTTTATTCAATGATAACTCTTCATTCAATGATATCAACTCTTCATTCAATGATATCAACTCTTTATTCAATGACAACAATTCTCTTTTCAATGATATCAACTCTTCATTCAATGATAACTCTTCATTCAATAACTCTTCATTCAATGATAACTCTTCATTCAATGATATCAACTCTTCATTCAATGATATCAACTCTTTATTCAATGACAACAATTCTCTTTTCAATGATATCAACTCTTCATTCAATGATATCAACTCTTCATTCAATGATATCAACTCTTTATTCAATGATAACTCTTTATTCAATGATAACTCTTTATTCAATGATAACAATTCTCTTTTCAATGATATCAATACTTCATTCAATGATAACAACTCTCTTTTCAATGATAACAATTCTCTTTATTCAATTTCAACAACTCTTTATACGATGATAACTCTGACAAAGTGGAGAATATAGCTAGCTCTATATTCATTCCACTCATTCATTTTATTAATCAACCTGTTACTTAATTTTATACAACCAGAATATCTAACTGGAAATTCGGAATAAAATGATCTTATAATCAAATTTTGTAGTTTGACCAAAAAAGTGTCTTGTCATGGAGCAATAAAAAATAATATTGAGCACATTTTCCTTGAATATTGCATTCTGATCCTGAAATTAATTTCAGCCATTAGGTGTGTCATTCTGTTCAACCACAACCTCCATAGAGTTTCCTTCACCTTGAGCAGACTTTCTAATAGCTTTCTTCTGTTTTTTAGATAATATAACTTTTCCCACTTGATCAGATTTTTCCTCAGAGTAATTTAGTCTCATAGATGGAGGATTTTTGGTGAATTGTTTTGTATCTTGGACTTCTTTCAGATGTTTCTGATAATTTTCATATGTTTGTGGACGTTTATCCATCAAGTGTTCGGGAATTTGAATGCCAATTATTTCAGGAACCATATAAGGTTTTAACCAAACAACTAATGGTGTGGCTCCAATTGTATAATGTGTTCTTTTATGATAAAATAATAGACCATCAATCTGAAATGAGGTATAGTTACAGTTTAACTTAAAATAATCTTAAAGAAGCAGAAATATATTCTGTCTTATCATAAAACAAAACCATCACTAAAACACATGAATCTAATAGGGATTCAGGAATAGTGTCCCATCTAAAGACTGAATTAATTTTTAAGGGAAACCCTTCTCAACAGTTACATGCTTTCATCCTTGAGGGAGGATTCCATCTAAACAACAAATATATCAAAACAAAACACAAACCTCAAAATTAGCTGTGGCAATAGCTATGCTGATGTCTTCTTGTGAACAGGGGAAATTTGGTAGTGGTATAAACTTATACTAAAATGAAAAACAAACTTTACAGTGTGTAAGACATCTTTAGCAAAAGAGAGGAATATCTACATCGCTCTGTAATAATCAGAAAGTCAGAAGATCATTGTAAAACTTATGCTCAAGGGGGAATATCTCTTTTTTTTGTGGAACAAACTGTATTTTATGTTGACATCAACCTTCTGCCATTTGGAAAAAAAAACTTGGAAACTAAGACTCTAATCTCCTTAAAATATGAGTAAACTATGATGTAATCTGATATATCTAAAAGAAAGATAAATTCGATGGAATGATAAAATGTCTTACAGGATTATTTCTGTTGACACTCTGAACTTCTGGCGTTTCATCTATTTTACTTTGTAACCAATAAAATCTAAACTCAGTCTAAAAAAACAAACAAAATAAAGTTATAAAAAACTCTTTTTACACTGAAATCAGGGATTGGGGTCAGTCAGAAAAGCGGGAGCAAGTTGCTCCGTATTCAACGTCTGCTATTTTTTTTAAAAATTAAGAAAAGCAGTCTGATTTTAGGGAAGAAAAAAAGGTGCTCAAAGCATATTTCTAGCTTAATAGGAGGACTGTGAATTACGAACTATTTGGCAACAGGATCTAGATCTACAAACAAATTCTACCATACCTCACTCTCATATACAGGATGTCCTTTCCAACACATTATATCTAATACAAAATATATACCATCAGTTTCATTATACAGGCAATCTAATACTGTAAAATCTATTCAAAAGAATTATAAAACATTTTTTAGCTGAAAGATTTCAAAATTAAAATTCCACACATCATTTATTTCAATTAATTTACACCATTTACAGCTAATGTTATTAACATACAGAAATCAGTATCATAATATTTGTAGACCTTATATCTACTTAATAGAATGCTCAACCTGGGGTGGCTCAATATTTAATAACTTTAATCAGATTATGAGGTTTTCAAAAATTTTTATGTGTACCAAGGACACTGATAGCATCAATTTGCACCATTCCCATTATCAGTCACACGTCTGTGGTTCCTGTATTTCACAAAACCTAAATGTTTGGTGACGTCACTAATCACATGCTTTAACACATAAGGCCCTTCATGATTAGCTTAGTCATCACTTTTAGTTTAATTGCATTAACAACAGACATCTGATTGAAAATTGGAATGGTGCAAATTGATGTTATCAGTGTCCTCAATAAACATACAAGAGAACCTCTTTACAATCACTTTAAGTACAAGCCAACAGCAAGATAAGAAATTAAGCTATTTTCAAATGTACCTTTGAAGTAAAGATAAGGTTAACAATAGTTGACAGATTTGTGTAAATTCCTGTCTCAATAAATAGTTGACAGATTTGTGTAAATTCCTGTCTCAATAGAATTATCAGCATTTATCCTGTTTAGGAGTAGTGATGGAATTGAGACACTTATTTTGTTGATTTCAAAAGAAAAGAATATTACCTGTATATTTATTGTCATTAGCTCTGTTTCCACCAGGTAAACTTGATATAAACGTATGAAAACAATAACCACTTTTAGTATAAGCCTTTGTCTTACCCTATAAAAACAAACTATACAATTTTAACAAATCAGGACATTCCAGGTTCATGTCAATTTCAGATTGCTGTGATTCCTGTAATTGCAGAAAGACTCCATAATACAAAAAACAAGAATACTTACTCTTGAAGCCACAACTAAACATCTTCTAGCAACTGGACATAAAACAGTGACCCATTCTGTAGTAAAATCTTCTGGTACCTCCACTAACCATTCAGAAAGCATCAGCTGGAACAAGAAATGTATAATATAGAGCTAAAAAATTGAAAGTCAAGCAGCGATGCCAACTTTGAAACGGCATGTAGTATTTGGATAGGACAAGAAACAGAGGTCACATGTGCTAAAAGCTCTAAATGCTGTCCTGCCAAACTTGCCTGTCGCATTAGTCCAATCAGTAGTACCAGTACCTTATCTCTCAAGACAACTGAGTTGAGATGAAACAATCACCTGATTTTTATATGATCTACTTGGTTTACGTAAAGCAACTTCAAAATCCATATCTTCTTCATTTCCATCCTCTTTTGATTTGACTTGTTCCCATTGTCCTGGTACAGTCCATTCACCATCAGCTAAATTACGTACATGGCCTTGGAAATCAAACCTTCGTCTGAAACATAAGACAATGTCATGATCATTAGAACATGAACTAACATATATTATATCATTACATCATTACAATACCGTAACAAAATATTTCATAAAAAAAGAACAAGTGCAGACACCAGAACAAGTACTACTTGTCAAACTTCATTAAGTCCACATGCTGAAATAGGTCTGTTGTGAGAGGATCGCACATTGTGAAAGTGTGAGTAACAACATGATTCATATTCTGTTTTAATATTTCTCAAATTTTATAATATGAATATTATATTTTTATATAAATGTGCCAGGATATCAATATAGACTTAAAATCATTTTCTTGATAAAGTGAAACCAAAACTTACTTTTTTTGACTCTCAAGAATTCTCTGTCGCCTTTTATCTTGTGATGGTGTACTGGATTTACATTTGTATTGAGCAAACCTTGGATGTTCAGCTGCAGTAGTGTTTGGTTCATTGGTGACAGTAAAATTACTCCCAGCCAGAGCAGCAGCAAGTTCATCCATACTCATCTAAAAAAAAGAGACAAATTATCATCATAAGCTTATATTATATTATTATATTATATCATTTTTTGTTACAATTGCTCTTTTAAAAATGAGCTCATTTAAAGGGACATGCGCCATTTTTTTTACCAGTTGTACTCTAGTCTCAGAAACTTCTGAAGACTATTTATATATATTCAACACTCTAATCAACAACCCAAATGGCAACTGTCCCCTTTATTTATTCTGTTACCTTGTAAGTAGGCCTATATCACTTATCACTGAGAGTGAGATTAGGAATACAAATTATAGACAACTTAAAGGTTCAATTAACAATGTTTTTTTTTCTCAAATTCATGACTGTAGCCTTTGTCTCACCTTAGACTGAAACATTTATCTCTATTCCAGCCTGTGATAACTATTTGGACAGATGTCGGCTAGTGTTGAGACAGAAAAAATAGGCCCTGTTAAATGGAAACATTTACCCGTAGGTGGGGACGTTTTAAACCTATTTAGATATCTTGGATCCGCAAAACCAAGATATACTTGGAAAGATGAATATTTTTGTAGATCAGTCATAACAAAACTGATCTCGCATCGGCCGGTTATACTAACAAAACGAAAGTTACGGTAATGGCCAATACTTATTTAAAGTCATCGTAAAAGTAATTTAATATTATGTTAGAAAAATGCTTCTCTGGAGGTGTGGAAAATCCCCATTTAACAGGGCCTTTTTCTTCTGATTCTACTCTAGCCGACAACTGTCAAAATATCCATCCAGAGGCTGGAATAGAGGCAGATGTTTCGGACTAGTCTCACCTCAACTTCCAATGACCATTGGAGATTTATAACCAATCAATTGTGCCTCAGCCTGGTGATCTTACTCAAAACCTTGCCTTGACCAGCACAGTCAGTAGGCTATACAGTTCTATGACCACCACTACAGAAAATAGTAGAAAGTTGTAAAATTCTGAATGTTTCGGACTACGTACACAAGTGTCTGGTGTTCCGTGACCGTGGACCACTTCTTCTCAGTTGACCAAAGAATGACAGTGAATGGCAGTGATACACATTTTTAAGCGCATGTATTTACTATCATTTAGACAGAATGACACTTACATTAAAATTTTATCCTGGCCTAGCCCAGTGACAAACCAATAATATTTTATACTCTGAGAAAGCGACCATCGACCGGAAGTTAAAACACAGCGCCACCACGCTTTCAATGTGAAGGTCGTTGGTTAATTTGTGAATCTTGAAGAAAATGAAATATTTTAGCCTCACTTTTATTATTAAGGTATATATTTTATCAGAAATATTCAGTAATTTAATTATTCCAGTAGTTATCTGACGATTTGTCGCATAATAGCTTAAGTGGAATCCTCGGATCAGCAATCTAACATTATGTGTTGTTGTTTGTTTTTTTATTGGTGTGTGTAATTTCCCAACCAGTTCATAACAATCATTGCATGGCGCTGCTCAATGCAATTTAAAACCCTGCTTTTTTGCGTACACTTTCTTTTGCCTTGAGTTTGAGACATCCGTCGATCACTTAGTTTTGTCTGACCAAGTGCATTGTGAACAGACAATTTTCTTTTTCCATTTAAGCTTATAGGCCTCTAATAATATGCTTTCTGGAATCTTAAGTTAAGACTAAGTTAAAGTCATTTTGGCACTTAGTCTGAAACATCTGCCATTTAGGCATTTATTCATAGTTGTCAGCTGGAGTGTATATAATCCATGCTTTGGTGTTGTTTGATGCAAGCTGTCATATGGAAAAGAACAGTTGTTCAAGATTTGTATTTTTCTATATTTTAGAATGGATTGGAATCAGTTTAATATCACACCAGCTACATCAGCTTATCTATCTGATGTTCATACCATCAATGATACCAGTAATGGTACAATACCACCTCAGTTGTTAGCTAGTCAAAATGCTCCAATGTTGATGCACCAATCTGGTGTAAATACGTCACCACTTCAGATGTCTACTGTACCAAATGTTAGCCTATCTTCTTCAGCTCTCAATAACATGAATTTAATGTCACAACACTTGATTGGAACCCACAACCAGCAGTCTAATATGATGGGAATGAACCAGATGTTTACTCAAGATCAACATTTGCCCTCTTCAAACTTCCAAAATCAAATGGTACCTAGGCAGATGATGGCAAATCAACAATCAGTTCAAAATCAGATGAAGCAGCACCATGTTGTACAAAATCGGGCAGCTATGTCTTTACAACCACCACCAAACCTTAATGTTCGCAATATTCCTCATCAAAACCTTCCGAATACACCAGGATCAGTCCAAACTCCTGTCTTACGGGAGCGATTGTTTAGTGGTGCTCAAGTAAGACAGCCAGATAATCTACTTTCTCCTCAACAAATGAGGCCACCACCATCCACCAATTCCACTTCAGTTGCTAGACATGTGGGTAACATTCAGATGCAGCAGAATCTTAGACCTACAGCTCCATCACAGCTTGCTCAAAACAGCAAGTCGACTACTTCAAAATCAGATGAGTCAAAATCTCAACTGTTGCAGTTTCTTGCAGATTTAAAGGAATGTTCGAATAAATCTAAATATTATGTGTCTGGAACTGTTGAAAATACTTACATTGTACAATTACTGACTTTTAAAAATATGTGTGGTGAGTTTTTAAAAAGGTCAAATAATAATGTGCTTAAAGATCAGATAAAAAAAAAACTATCAACTATGGAAGATGGAGAACAAATCATGAATGCCAAAATAGAACGGTCAAAATTTGTTCAAGATGTTTTGGAGTGTATTATTGTAGAGACTAATATATGGACTCCTGATCTTGAACCAGAAAAAACAAAATCCTGTTCTCCAAGACTTGAAACCAATTCCAAAGTTTTACAGCCAAACCCACCCTCAAATCTTGTCAAAGTGAAAAAGGAACCAGGAACTGAAAATTGTCAAACCTCATGTAAGGCTAGTCAAGCAGGAAAACCATTAAAAACCTCAACACCAGCAAGTAACACTTCTTTTCCAAGCGGTATAGACGAATTAATTCGTATGTCAGAAGAGGCTGCAGAACCTTTCAACAGTGTAGCAGATGGGCCAAATTTTACTTCAAATAGCGAGACAGATAAATCACAGTGTGAAATGAAGCCACAACTGTTGAATAGAAATCAAATTAGACCACCATTAGAGCCTGTCCTGCATCAACAAGCACATGTTTTTCATCAGCAAGCACCTGTCCTACGTCAAAGAGCTCCTGCCCTACATCAACAAACACCTGTCCTGCGTCAACAATTACCTGTTCACAGACTTCAAGCACCTCTTCGTCAACAAGCACCCATTCCTCAGCCTTCTACTTTACTAGATTTAATTGGGAATCCATCTAATGTTCCTTTGAATAGGCCAGTTGTTCCAGGAATCATATCACATGCCGCACCCTTTGTGCCAATTAGACTTGCTACAATGGTCACTCCTGCAAATTCACAACCAACTATAAAAATTAAAATTATTCGCAATCAGAATCAGTCATCACCTACTGTGTCTTCGACTACTGTAGCTACTGCTCAAACCGATGTAGATGAAATTTCCCCACCAAAAAAGACAAAAAGAAAAGATCTTGTTCGTCCAGTAAGTCCAAATGATATGTGTCGTGTTGAACTTGAAGACCAAGAGCACATTAGTTCATGCTTAATCGAATCCAAAATAATAGACAAAAAAACAAAGGATATACAGAAAATTAAGAAGGAAGAAGTTGTTTGTGCTCTATCCTCGGATTTAAAACGTGACCGCGTTATTGATCCTAAAGAATCCTCATATTATTGGTGTAATTTCTGTGTTTATCAGACTGATCATAAAGGGAAATTGGTAAACCATGTTATTACAGCCCACCGATTCTCTTGTCAGTTCTGTAGATTCCAGTGTTATTCACGAGCTGATGTAGTGGAACATACTGTCAATGTTCATAAAGAAGCATCAACAATGTCAAAGGATTTTAGATATTGCGTTTTGTTGCCAGATTACTTGAAAATTATGGATAAAATTGAAAATCATGAAAATGATGCGTTTGAAAATGAATGCATTCAGTCATTGAAAACAAAGAAAATTCGTGGAGTAACAGAAAATGAGGAGAACTATATTGAAAGTGACTGGGAAGAGGAAATATTGGGAGATGATGATTTTTTATCAGAATCTCGAAGTGAAGTAAGTGAACAAGCCAGTGACAATGAGGAAAAACAAATTTCGCGATCATGGGGACAAGGCAAGAAGAGGAAAATCAAGAGAGCTTTTCTTAATAGCTCAAGCGACGACGATAATGAAGACCTATCTACGAAAAGAACTAAGACAAGTGCTTTAGAGGAATTAAAAAAGAAAAGGAAAGAGAAGGAGACTAGAAAGAAATCTAAAGTTGGTAGAAAAAAGAAAGAATCTAAAAAGACAGAATCTGATCAAGATAGTCCTTTAAAGCTTCGTCGAAGATCTGGACGAAATACTAAGACTGATTTTAGAAAAGTTTTTGATTCTTTGACTGATATTATTGGGTCTGACAATGAATCGGAGGTTTCAGACGACACCGATAATGACAAAGATTTTGTACCAAATAATTCTCCATCTTGTCAAAAAACACAAACCAAAGATGTATTTAAGTCATTTCTTGACAGTAAATCTAGAAATTCTAATAACAATGCTGATGATTTAATGCCAATAGCAATTCCTGTGGTTGTTTTAAAGCCTTTGGATCCAATCCTAGCTAATGCTGATACCCCTCAGAGAACATCTACATCTTTTCCTCGGATAATAAGCAGATTTGATGGAGAGGACACAGTTTTATCAGGAAAATCTGTTGATGACTCTTCTCTTGATGACTCAACTCCTGATATACATACTAACAATGACAATATGAATGATAAACCGCTTAGTAAAGATGACCGAACCAATGATAACTCTACTAATGACTCTGTTCCTGATGCCCTTCCCACAACTCTGGCCTCATCAGATTCTGGCTCAGCCAATAAATCAGTAGTACCTGCATCTGCTTTAGGTACTGACCCTGTTACCACATCCGTAACAATTTTAGGAAAATCAGGATCATCATCTGAATCTTCTGTCACAACTACTTCTGCAACCTCCATAAATTCCAACAGTGTTTCAGGCTTTAGTAAAAATAAAGTGACTCTTGTTAAACACTGTATACATTGTGACTTTGTATGCGACGATATACAAGAAATAAAATCCCATAGTTTGGAGAATCATCCATCTGCATTTCTTGGTGTTTGGCAGAGTGCCTTAAACTTTGTTTTGTATATTTGTCCAAATGAAAACTGTGATTTCTATGCCAGTATGTCTCAGGACTTCACTCGCCATATTGGGCGTTGTAGTTATACACGAAACGAGAATATTGACAAAGCAATCAAGGAAACAACTAACTATATCCAGTGTTTAAAAGATAGACGGTTAATGAAAAGTTCAGATTTGGAGTCTCAGAGACACACACTTAAACAATATTTCAATAAATCTGAAGTGTGGACTGTTGAGAGACCAATAGGCATGGTGTCCAATCTAGTTTCAGCATCACCATCTCCAAGGAATTCTCCTACTCCTTCCACCTCTTCTAAATCTTCAGATAAAAATAAACCTACAACATCTACTGATATTGAAGACATAATGGACTCTAGTACCTTCTATAAATGTGCATTCTGTTCATTTAAATGTATGGGTAATACATTAACTGTGAGGGAACATAGTATTAAACATCATCCCGAATACCCATTATATACTATTAATCTCAGGGCAGTAGAAGAAGGTCATGAAAGAAGATTTGTATTGTTTTGTGTTGGACAAGATTGTAAAGAAATATTCACACAATCTTCAGACTATTTTAAACATGTAGAATCCTGTACAAAAATAAAGAAGTTAAAGAGCGATGCTCAGCTTCTAAAAACCAATAAATTTGTTAAATTGACTATGTATAAGGTAAGTAAAAATTGTTTTACTGTAGATTTGTGATCAATGTGATCTCTGTAAGCATTCAATCCAGAAAAGGTGAAGGCAGCTGTCTAGCACACTCGTTAAAATACATGTTGTGGCAAAGCTATTGCCAAATACACACATGTAAAGCCAATTATGTTTACAAAGTGATCCATGACATTTATAATGACATGATTAATTAACTTGTAATGTCCAAATATTATGTTATTTTCATGAGAGACTACTGTTTTAATTTGATTTTTACTTACTTTGATTTTGGGGTTCCATATTCTTAATCTTTATTCATTGTCCTTGGACTAAAAATGCTTATAATAATAATGTTAAGTTCTCACAATTATTCTCATTTATAACTCTATTTCATTTAAATTTCAGTTATGAAGAACCAGAGCCATTTCCTTCAGAAGAAATATCTTAATGAATCAGGCCAACATGCTGAAATGATGTGTCTGAGAAGAGGTTCAGTGAAATGTTAATGGGTTCAGAGTAATCTTGTTAGCAACAGCATCGAAGTTGTTCATTCATTGATTGTCATATTGAACTATTCATAGTAATATAATATATTATCAATGGGCTAACAGAAATCAAGAGAGTGAGATCAGCATTCTGGAGAAATTATCGAGGAAAATTAAGTCACAGACCCCTCTGATACTAATTAAAATTAGTCCAAACTTTCGTTCACTTTTTTAATTAGCTATTTTTAATATAGCCACTTCAGTTAGGGTCTAATGACAGCCCTCTCGAGTGTTTATCAAATTAACCTTTTGACCTAACCTGAAAAACACTGTGTTACAAAATGCTAGGGCTGGAGAGGGTAGAGATGTCATTGGTTAAAGCTGACGTCCTCAAGTCGGTCAAAAGGTTAATTTGACGACTGTTTAAGAGGGCTGTCCTTAGACCCTGACTGAAATGGCTATATTATAAAAGCAAAACGAAAGTTTGATCTAATTATGATTAACAAATATAAAAGGAGTTAGTTAATATTAATACTTTGAGGTTTTGGTTACATGTATTTTACTTTTATACATAATTTACATTTTGTTTTGCTGTATATTATTATTAATACAGACATATTTATATTGTCATTATATAGTGAATGATAGTCTGATTATTTATTCTACATAAGCTTGACAATTGTCAAAATTACATTATATTAATTCAAAAGAGTTAATTGTTAATTTTTTTCTGCATTTATTGTCAATTTGTATCTTTATTTGTTCATTTGAATCATGAGCTTGCTACTCTTTGGCAATTTATTTATTTATTAACTCAGAGATATTGAATCAAATATTTCAAAACCTAAACTAAAAACCTGATTAGGATAAAGTGAAGTAAACTGATTGGCTAGGAATGTAATGATTGTCCAATCAGATTAGTTTCTCAATAAGTAATCTGTGAACATCAGGATAATTGAATGGATTATTGCCATGAGGTGGAGGGGGGGATTCAAACAGGGCAGCCTTCCACAAAATATCTTGATATAAGAATTTGTTGTAAGTGTAGAATTTTACAAAATTAATCACAATATTTTTTGTGGAACAAGACCCAGGTCCAGTCCACTAAGCTGTTAGGTAGGAGATGTATTAAACATAACATTAAGGCAGGCTGCATTGTTGTAATTACCAATTTTTCTACCTGCAAAGTGGACTGCTCCTATTCATGTTTTATGTCAGACCCAGATGTGGCAAGTCATATATATATACACAACTAGCGATTTAATTGGATTGTATGCTAGCGAAAACAGCCAATCATTGCCCTTGACAGAAAGAGTGTAAACAATTTGGCTGAGCAAGTAATCAAGTGTTCAATAAGTTGTGTTCCATAACGTACAATCCAATCAAATATCTGCATTTACACACTTTCTAGATTAAAAAAAGTATTAGACACAGTTTGTAATAGGTAAATACAACTGATTAATGTGTGTGGTGAATTTATATACAATGAACTGTATTGATGTTTGGTAACTACTGTGATGGTGCAATATGATCTTATCAATTAATGATCATATATTTACTGCCATTACTTGAATATTTCCCTGTTATTATATCGTCCCATGTTGAACCTAGCTTTAGTGTTATGCTTTGTTTTCTGTACTCGAGCATTATCAGTAGTAGTATTATTATTTCTGTAGTATTATTATTTCTTCACTCAGTATCATACATGCAAACTAAGAATAAATTCATAATTGTTTACTGTCCTGATTGTTTTTATTCTCTCTTGATTGAAATATGAAGTTCAGCTAAGTCCTTTATTACTTATGTACAGGGCAGTGCTGATTGGAGAGTTCTGAACTGGTTGTGTCTCTTCCGGGCACAAAGAAACAATTAAATGTTTATCTCATTCTGATAAATATGTTGGTTTTTTTTGTTAATAGCTCCAGCATTAATTTATAACTCTTTATGTTACTAAAGAAAAAGACACAAAAAATCACAGTATAAGTTAAAATATTCAATTAAATTTAACACTATAATACAAACTAGATAAATACAGAATACAAAGCTTTTTACATATATTCAGTCTGACATAAACTAGATCATAGTCTAAATTATACAAATGTACAAAAAAATTGACATAACATATGACATGGCTGGAAGTGATTTTAAGCAACATTTTTTGTAAATGAGATTTGACCGAACTTTTAGTCTGAATAGTAGGTCATTTTCACATGAATTTTCTGGGATGGAACCTTATATTTCTATGGACCTGAAGACATTTTAAGACAAATGGCATAATATTAATAAATATTTATATCAGAGATTATTAATGGTTGATAGACATATGGCCATCTAAAATGATTTATCAAAATCTACTTTTGGTATTGAAACTTGTATTCTACTTGTAGGCTGAAAAAGATAATAACAAAGATAAGATAAAAAAAATATATATATATAGTTAAAGTAGATCAATAACACTGTAAAACATAGTTAATATTTACTGCCAACATGTTTCAATTCCATATTTTCAAGGCATAGTAACAATACAATAAACAATGATAAAAAGTCATGATATTCTACTTTTGTGTGTGTAAATATATACATCAAAAATACATATCATAATATATATTTTTTAGCTTTTGTGCCGGTTTTAACTTCACTTCAATTTGACGGTTTAAACTTCACTTCAATTCTAATACCTCCAAAATGCTTCAATTTTCAAACAAATTCTCATTTCTATCTGTGTTGCTGTTTCATTTGCATTTGTCATTTATATGAATGAAAAGTGGAATAACCTGATCCTACCTGCCTAGTGAGATATTGATTCTGTAAAGTAACATAATTATCAGATTGTTGAGATATTGGTGAGATTGGTGGTGAAAATGGACTGTCACCCTGTAAATTATATAAAATGTCATTTTAGAATCTAATCTAATCATCCAATTTCTAGTTTCATGTTGTTTTATATTTTTTTAAACAAAATTATTAAAAAATTATCGATATGGCAAAATGCATGTCAACTGAACAAACATGCACCTCCCTCATACACAAATTGTTGCATTTTACAATCAGCAGATTTATAATAGGATGGAAAATTACAGAGGCAGCATGTCTAAGCAAAGAATATGCAACTGCTGCATTCACACAAGCTAGCTCTAAGCCAAGCTCTGATACTCAATCAGATGGCTCATGCAGACAAAGCTCAAAATCTATATCAACTTACCTGTGGCTGATCTCTTTTAGGTGGAGTTAAAGCAGTTTCTTGCTGTAACTCAGCCTTGTGAATATCAAAACCCATTGATTGTTGCTGATCTTGGATTCGTTTCATCTGTTCATGCATTTGTCTCATCACATATTCTTGTTGCTGTAACATTTCCTGTTGTGTAAAAGCATTATTAATATCTGCATTGTTATTATTTTGATTAGCAAAGCTTTCTGACTGTCTCTCTAGTAAATGGGCTATTTCTTGTTGTTGCTTGATCAGATCTTTTTGTTGGTTCAGCAGTGATTGACTCAGTTGTCCAGAGGCTGTAGATGCTTCAAGCTCTTGAAATACTTGATCATGTCCACGTCCAAGTTGACGCTGATGCTGGTCTTGCTGCAATAACACTTTCTGTTGTTGCTGCTGAACAAGTAAAACATGCAGTCGTTTCTGAGCCTCTTCATGCTGTTTATTTAATTCTGCAATCTGTGTCTTCATCCCTTCTTCCTTCATTGGATTTCTCTGTGTACCTTGAAATGATACATTTGGATGCCTGGATGCTAGAGAGGCCATGAAATCAGAATTCTGTGGAATCTGTGATTGTGACAAGCTTTGATTTTGACTTTGTGTGTCTGGTTGCCCATGTAGCATTACCTGCCCTGGTAAACTTCTGTATTGTCCATTCTGTATTACATTCTGTTGTTGACCACCTTGCATTGCCATCAGTTCAACATGCTGTCTGTGTGGTGAACCATTTTGTTGTCCTTGTGAAACACCATTAGATGGTCTGGATAATTCACTAAATGCTTCAAGTTGGCTGTTCTGTTGTCTCTGGGCTAATGATATAGGTCTAGGAACATTAACAACAGATGGATGAAGAGTAGATGTTGTAGAAGTTGGTTGACTGTTAGCTAGTGATGGTAAATCAATCAATGATGTTTGTCGATCTGCAGAATAAAATGGGAAAATCTATAGTAAAACATTTAAAGTTTTTGTTATGTTTCAACTTAAAACATAAATGCCAAGAGTGAGTGGTTTTGTTTTCTTGTGCAGTTACTTGTGATACCTTAAAGAAATGTGAAGATGGATTTGTACAGACACATCTAACCCTGAGTTGGCACTGATAATATTTTGAACATAGCATTTAAATTTTTAATACATGGGGCTGATAGATTTGTGACTTCTGCACGTTCAGGATAGCAAGTAGGGACAAAGTTCAGTCTGCTGAAAACATAGTAGGTGTAAACAGAATTCAAAATGGCGAAGAAGGAAATAGATGAAAAATTTTGAATGTGACATCTGCATTCATACCATTCGATTGGAGCAGAAATAGAATAGACGGAACCTTCTAAGAACTCTCCCATCGAGTGCTACCCATGAGAATTAGAAAACTCACTTTGTTGAAATGGTAAAGGTTGAGTTGATGTTTGGTGGGTTGTTTGAGGAAGTTGATCATGAACTCTAGTCTTACGAACTGGTGGAGATAATAAAATAGCCTCATCATCATGTAAATGACTAGGTATAGAAGATCTTAGGTTTAATGGTAGTTGTTCTATATTGGGTTGAGGTAAGGATGAAGCAGCATTTAAATGACTTGTTTCAGGATTTTGATGTTGATCAGTGAAATGCATATCTAAAACAAAATCATGACATGAAAATTTTGAAGATCTACTGGTTATGAACTGATTCAACCCAATAGATACAAACAATCAATTAGTTTCATCATTTTAAATCAGCACTGTTAAAACTGTATAACACTTGAATCTCCTCAGACTGGTAGATATGAAGACAAATATGACATATGATTTTAAGAACTTTATTAGCTTAGGAAAATTGCATTGCATTGATCTGTGTCTGAATATAACCCATCTTATGACAGCCAGGATTGTGGGAATAGATAACATACAGACCTGGGTGATGTTGAGGGGGTGTTCGTGTCGAATTCAACAATTGTGGTGTTGGAATGGGACCTTTAATACCATATAATGCTGCCTGAAACACAAAAATAATTAATGAATTTAATTTTTTTTTCCAACCATCAATACAATCTAATTTTTTGAATGATCATTTGACTTGACAAATACTATTCAATCCTGGATTTGTCAACCTCTTAACATATTCCAATTCATTAGTTTTCTTACAGCCATAAAAATGTTGGCATTGCATTCATAATTCTTGGCATCATCATTAAGACAGGAGATAAATTCCAGTTTCTTCCCATAGAATTAATAATAAATGCTGCATGCTAATACTAGTAAAATAAAGTACCTTCAATAAAGCCAGTTCTTGTTCAGTTTGTTGTCTATAGCGTAGAAAGTCACCTTGCGATCTTCCATATTCTTCTTGGGTTACAATAATATCCTTCAGACAAATAAAAAATAATATAATTCGGCCATGTAGCCAAACCTCAACTCCAGTATCAGCACTTCACTGAGAAGGTCCAAAGGCCGAATCAGTTCTGTTTGCATTTAATTCATAAAATGTAATAAAATAATTCAAAAGTATCCTTTAAAATGTAAAAGTGACCTTAGAAAATAAAATATTTTATAAAAATAACGTAAAACAATTCATAAATATAATGGAATATACTTCATAAAATATATACTTCATAAAATATATAATTCATAAATATATCTTCCATAAAATATAATATAATATTTCATAAGTATAATGAAATATAATTCATAAAATATAATATAATTCATAAAAATAATGTAATATAATTCATTAATATATCTTCAATAAAATATAATGAAATATTTTAAAATATTTCATAAAAATTAAGGAATATATTTCATGAAATATATATAACATATTATAACTCATAAAGAATAATATCCTCCCTATAAAACATAATATATATCATATTCATATCATTAAAATATCCTGTATATAAACATAAGGAAACTTACAGAAGTTAAAGCATCAATAATAGTTCTCATCTGATGAACATCTTGTGTGAGTTGTTCTCGCACTGTTATTTCAGCTTGTAATCTTCTATCAGTCTATAATAAATGAGAGGGGGAGTAGAACCTTAGTACACAGACCCTAAGTTTACTGTTACACTGAACAATTAGATTATAAGCCTCTCTCCTACCTGCATCAAGAGACAAGACAGATAATCTGTGTTGAAAAATTTAAAGACGTTATTTTTGACGTTTCTTAAAATAATGTGCAATGTATTATTCTCATTTTCAAAAGATGTCATAAAATTTTCCACCAGTTACATCATGAAAAATCTGAAGATAGTCAAAATATTTCATTATTATTCATTTCAATACACAATTAATTCAAGAATTTCATTTTCTTAACCTACAAAGGAATCATGCCTAAACGCTGAATGAAGTGCAATTTAATCATAGTATTTTATCACTGTACAAATAGTAAATATATAAAATATAACAAAATGCTTTTCTAAGATTTCAAGCAAAATTTTTCTATTCTTACCTCTCTCAAATATCGAGCTAGTTTTGAAACAGAATCAACTAGCGCCACAGTGTATCCTGTAAATGTATCTGAACGTTGTTTTTCAGCAGGAATTTTAGTTCCTGTTTGTTTCTCAAATTCAGCAATTTCATCTTGTAAACTTTCTAATACCTGTAATGCAAAAATAATAAAATGAAATAATTCTACTTTATAAATATAGATCTAATATATAGACTGTTGATCTGTAATGCACCAGTCATATATGCTTAAAAACACTGGCCTGTAATGTAATGGTGTTTGAAGATCACATCTATCTGATCTTTTTTTATCATTAATACCTCAACAAACAGTCCAAATTCTAATAGTCATTTTTTCTGCAGATACAAATATCAATTGTTTTCACAAATTTTGTCCACCAACTAAAAATGGGCATACAAATTAGACCAAACTTTCGTTCCATTTTCTTATTAGCTTTTATTTTTAACATAGCCAAAATGAAAGTTTTGTCTTGTTTTAATTAGCCTGATCCAAATTTCAAAACTGACCTTTCTCATATCAGTGAGATTCATGGCTTGTGTTTGAGATGTGTCAGCAGAACTAGTTGAGGTGTCTCGAATACGACTTTTGATTTTCCTCACTTTGTTAGTATCATTAATAGCTGATCTTGGTGGGCGGTGAATTTCCATCGAATCATTTGCTTCATTTGGTGGTGTTTCAAATCCACTATTTCCTAGAAATAAGGTAAAAATTACAGCTATTTTCACAAAGAAGGTATACAAGACTCAGTTTTCTCAGAGTTCAATTGCAGATCAATGAAGTAAATCAAATGTTTCTTCCGAAATTTTGGGCTATTTTTGGATCTGTATTTCTTAAACAATGGAAAAAAGAGAAATGTACATTTACAAGAGCTAATTCTATGCTTAACATGCTCAATATTGTTCAGTGGTTTGCTCACACTGATATATGATATACATTTTATACACAGATTCATTAAATGTCTTTTTGTCTAAATAAGTTTGTTGGTATATCAAATTTTACAGATTGTTTTCATAAGAATGGGAATATTAGCTTTAAAATAGTATTGTTAGTCTAAGAATGACTTTGCATTGAAGAAAATATAAATATCAGCAGACATTATTACTCTGAAATTTGTCATTACAGAGGACGATTTTATGTTGAAATTTTAATTTTTGGGAGGGAAGTGTGTGTCTATTCAATGTAAACTTGAAAAAAATTATATTTTTACCAATGCAAAGTCATTCTGGGATTGTAAGTATTGTCTTGAAGTTTATATTCAAATTCACTTGGGAAAAATTAGCAAATTTCAATATAGCAACTAACTAGGTCAGACAATAGTTCAGACTTTCTATTGAAATGGTTTATACCTTGAATCTGTGTACTTTGTGTTGGACCTATTTCGTTATGACTAAGTTGAGCCTGACCACCAATAGAACTTAATGTTTGGTTTTTCTCTTCATTAGCCAGAAACTGTTGAAATCTATGTAGATTCATCTGTTGATGGTAAACTATAGGATGAGGATTGTCAGTTTCATCATCGTCTGAAAAAACATGGAATAACAAATAAATAGATGAATATTGTCAGTAGAGTACAGCAGATTCAATCCATTTGAAGCTCTATCAAACATGAGGTTTTACTCAAACCTTAACAAAACAGTAGCATCAGAAATGTGTCCAGTTTTCAAATCAAATTTCTAAAAATCTTATAAAATTTTACCCGAGTCTGAATCTGGTAGATCATTTAAAGCTGTAGGATTCATAACAGAATCACTTAAAGCTTCAGTCTTGGTGTATATTTCAGGCATACCAGACACTAAACTTGTATTTCTAAAACAGATTAAATATGTGTAATACTATAAATAAATTTAGAATTTCTGGTGAATTTATCAAATGATCCAATTCATAAACTTATCCATATGAATTATTAGTGGAAATGACTAAAAATACTAAGTTTTTCTTTATAATTCAACTTGGATCCCAGCAGTAAATATAAAATAGGTCAAGGGGGTCACAGGCTACTATATAGGGTACAGGGGCGAGATTTTACTACTTCAAGATGCTTTGGAAGTCTTTCTTATGAAATATTTTCACCCCTCAAATCAAATTTAGTGGTTTTATTCAAAAAAAATACCACTGGCCAAAAAAATAAAGGAATTCAGGGATCCTTGTTTTAATATAATAATAGTGCTTTTAGGCATTACCCTGCGCTTTTTCGATTTCCAACTGTCGAGGGATCTTTAACGTGCACAGCCTGTAGCACACGGGGCCCTCGGTTTATTGTCCCATCCGAACGACAAGAAGCTTTTTCCATGTCAGCCCCTCTTACCTGCATCACTGACAGGGGGAAACTGGGTTGAAAAATCCAAAGGTATTATCTCGAATCAATATACAAGAAATCACATCTTACAGTTTACCCTGGTACTTTTACAATCATGAATATAATAAATACAAACCTATCGGTATGGTCTCCTGAAGCATTTGGTGCTGATGTAACATTAGGGAAACCTTTGTATTTCTACAGAAAACAAAATAATAGTAATTATAACATGATAAACATGTGATATAGAAATTACTTCTCTTATAATTATTTTAGATCAAAAGCTAATTCTTGACAAAAAGACATCACAAATGCTAAGTAAATAAATTAAAGACTAACACTCCGAACTGCAAAACGAAACTAGAAATCCAAACAACATACTGGCGAAACATTGAGTAAGTATTTCATGATGAAAAGTGGTATCATGTGTCAGGAAGAGTAAGCATGTACCCTGCCTGGTGCCACACCATAGCTGCTTAAAATACACAACAAACAACACAAATAGGAATGTACAATGAAAATGAAATATATTCATTTCCTTTTAATAGACAAGGAAGGTAACTGATCACAAATGTTATATCATAAGAAAAACCTTGAAAACCATTTTCCCACCTTAGGATCGTCACCAAATAAATCTTTTACCACAGACATCATGTTATCAGTTTTATCTAACACACTTTTTAATTGCCTCTGATCATACAATATCTCCTTCATAATAGCTAACTGTCTAGCTTGATTCTGGGTTATCTGTCCATTATTTTCTTCTCTCTTATTAACTGTAATAAAACACATAAAACTATCTGATATAACTATCAAAACTGAAACTGAAACATGTTGTTACTCAGTTTCTACAACTGATGTATTGAGCACTATATTAACAGTAAAGATATTTCGTAGTTGTACTTCATATGGTATATAATATATATGATTTCAAACTGGTATCCCAATAGTCAAATACACTAAAATATAAAACAATAAAAAAACAACTGTGGTTAAGTCTAGTAACGATATCATTCAACTAACTCCACCACTCTGCCTGTGCCTATGCTTTTGTTACATGACTTAACGGCAATGTTCCTAAAATTCCCACCACTCATTTGGACAGTGATACACTATATGGAAACTTGGAAAAGATAATTTACTATTATCAGCTTAAAAATGTGTAGAGATAGATCTCAATGAAATAAAAAAAAAACAATTACCTTTTCTCATTTGCTGTAACTTATAAGTCATATGATTTTTGGACTTGTGAGCTGTCTTTCTCCGCTCCTAAAATTTAATGAATTAATATTAATTTTACTTTTTTTTTCATCTAGAAATTAGAAAGTTGTAGAAAACATTGCTTACAGAATTCTATTCCAGCATTTATCAAAGATTGATTGTTTCCTTCTCTTAAAGAATTTGGGCAGATTGTGAAAGATAAGCCAGTTTCTATTTATAGAAAGTCATCAGGATAATTGATTTTGAGTCTGACATCTGTGGTTTCTGCAAGTCCACAAAAAAGAAATGTTTGATGAGTTCACTAATCACAAAATATACGGTACTTTATTATATAAGGCCCTTCGCTATTAGTGACATCATCAAACACTTAGTTTTAGTGGAATTGCAGGAACCACAGACACTTGATTGAAAGTTGGAATGATGCAAATTGATGCTATCAGTGTCCCCGATACACATCATAAATTTAGAAAACTTCTTACAATCCCTTGCATGGCTATCAAACTTACCAAGTCTTCATCTGTGGCTTTGAAAGTAGTCAGATCATGAAGCGTGTCCTAAAATAAATGAATGGAGTTTTACAACCCACTCTTCAGCACCTAATTGGGAAAATGGAGATGGGAAATGCAATGCAGTAACCTATGCAATGAGTTAGCCTTCTGACTGTCAAGAAGTTGAACATTGTAAATTACTTACATCCCATTGTGGTTTCTTTTTAACAGCCTTTTTCTTTAGAGGTCTCTTGGATGGATTAACTCCATGTGAAATTCTGTGGAAGGACATACTGTTAATTCCACATCACAGTCACACATCAATCTAAACACAAACACTACAGACAGTAATGTTTAGACATCATGCTTGTTTTTTATTTACTACACGTGTGGTTCTCCAAAATGGTTTACAATTTACAGTTAACTCCGGCACTTTTTACAATCTTATAGGTCTATTTAAAAAACCAATTCACACAAAAATTAATCTTTTAAATCTTTGATCAAACAGTACTGAAGAGTAAGATGACAATTGAGAAAAATTAAAACCATAATATCTAACAGGTTGCTGGCTATGTGATGAATTTCAAGAATGGACTTGTTCTGATGGACTTATGTGCGTGAGTGTTGAGCATAAGTTTACCATAATAAAAGTTAAAATCAAGATGAATGAAATTAATGCTAGGCTACGAAAAAAATCCGATTCTCACTGCTACAGTACTGGGATATAATATATATTTCTACTTACTCTGAAAGATCAAAGATCCCGCTTCGAACAATCAAACCTTCGTCCCAAATATTGGGTAAAATATTTAAGCCATTGGCTATATTTTGTGGCTGTGTACATAATTATGAACTTTTTTAGGAATTACAAAATCACAACACAAAACGAAATGAATCCTATACACTACCCCATTCTGACCCCTTTTTTTCTGAAATAACAGCTCTGCTGCATCCATGTTTTTTTTAGGGGGGGGGGGGGGGGGGACTTAGAATCGAATTACTAGACATACTATCCATAGGTCGGTTCCGGTTATACCGGGTTGAACTTAAGAGTACACATTCAACTAGCATACACATTCGCGGCAAATCGACCCGATATAAAATGTGAATTATTTTTAACTTAAATATTGTTATAATAACTTAAATTTTTTTTTTTGAGAAATGCACATAAGTATTCATTCAATTTCGCAAACACCTATATGTGTGACAGTGTGCTTTATTTTCAGTGTGTCTGTCCCTTTAAACAGTTCAGTGACTGACTTTAAGACTAGTTTACTTTTAGCCACAGTTCACTGCAAAAGCCAATCACCTGTAAATACCCTTTGTTTTGTTACTATTTGTATCTTGGGATTCACCTTTCTCTCTGTCCTCTGGGGTGAGCTGTCTTCATCCTTACCCTAGCTACCCTGTGTTGGATACCACACTTTTGAATATCAGCTTTGGAGAGACAGGACCTGATTTCTATTAATTCTACATTAATTAGTGAAAGGTATGTGTGTCTCTTCTTATTATGAGTTAATGTCAAAGGTTTACCAATTTTTAGTAAGAATGGATGGAAATGGTGTATTTTAACATGTAATTTAGCAATAGCATATTTTAGCATCAAAATAGTATTATCATATTAATGTTGTCATGCCTAGCCTATATAAACATAAGTAAGTTCAGTTAGTAGTTATTATCCCTGTTTGATAATGATGTGTAAATGTAATGTATATTATTTCAACTTATAATCACGATGGTAATATAGTTGTGGTAGTTTGACCCACTCATGCGCTGACGTGACTTCATATATCATTTGTATTTACTTGTCATTTGGCATATAGTCATTAGAAATTAGCCGTAATATCATTTCGCTTCAGGTGACCATTTCATGCTTTCAAACTTTGCCGTTACTCGGCTTTGGGCTTCTAAATTGAATCCTTTATCTTTGGGTTGGATTTTGGTTTAAAAACGCTTTATACGGGAGAATTTACATTCTTCACCAGAAAGCAACTAAATTGGGGAAATCTCGTCCTCAATGGGAATTAATGAAATAGTTTATTTTTATGATTAGGAGGACGCCCATTTGTTAAAAGTTGGGAAAATGTTTCTGTATTCTTGTTAACTTTGTTGTATCGTTGTAAATCGTTATTTGTCCATAATGTACACTTGTTATGTCATATATCTTTGTTTATAAACTAAGTCAATTAAACTGAATCTTTTCTGGCTTCGATCTCTGAGGGAGAACCTAGTATCCTGTATCCGAACCTTGGAACTGCATACATTGGGAAATTGGATGTTAGTGGCATAATTGTAGGGGAATTTTGGGACCTAGAGCACAAATTCGTCCTACAGACTTTATGGGAATCCAGGAATTTGTAGATATAGAGATCGCCATTCCAAGTCCATTTATCCACAAACTTAGAATTGAAACGAACCCAGGCCTTATTCTTGGAAGAAAGGGAGACCCCGTTCATCCAGTTAACGGCTACATGTGTCTACCTCTCTTAGTCTTTGTACGGTGGCCCATTTAAGACATATTTGTTTTTATGGAAGCTGAAACTTACCAAAGTTAAACAGCGATTTTAAAGGCTTAGCTTTGCAGCTTTTTGGTAAAGCTTTTTTATTTGATTCAGTTCTAGTGTGTAAGGGATTTCTGCCAGTCTGTGATTGTTGTTCTTAGGTGGATAGTTGTTGTAAAGAAATTGTAGAAATTCCACTTTTCCTGTAGTTTTGAAATTAGTTCGTAATTCTGTCCTCCTCAAAGGGTTCGTTTACTTGTATCATGTCAGTAAGCCCTAGGTATATATTCCAGAAAAAAAAGAAAACTTATGAGCACTAGTCAAATGCTGCCATTACATTATTTTCCCTTTCATTCTACTTATTTTTTTTATATAACGACCTCTTTTTCTCAGCTGGATTTTTGCTAAGCCTCGCAGTAATATGTTCATAGAGTTCATATATGTCGATTGGTGTATGTCTTTAATGTGCCACCGTACAAAAAGCAAGGGAGACAGCAACTTCGTGATTTGATATTTAGAATAACCAGTAGTGTGAGATTATATGGTATGAATTTCAAAATGTTCCTATGAAGGCTAAGCCCCGCAAATTGCCCGTAAACTCTGAGTATTATGTTACATAGAATATGTCGATTAGTGTATATCTTTAATGGGTCTCCGTACAAAAAGTAAGACAGACAGCAACTTAGCGATTTGAGATCTCGAGTGAGATAGTATGGTATTAATTTGAAAAGGTTTCCGCAAATTTCCTGGAAACTCGGAGTAATATGCTCATATTGGTCATATATATGTCGATTAATGTCTTAAATTGGACACCGTACAAAAAGTAAGACAGACAGCAACTTGCATGGTGATTTGATATTTCGCATGGGGACTAGTTTGAGATAGTATGGTATGAATTTCATTAAGTTCCTATGACGGCTAATCCTCGCAAATTGCCCGTAAATTCTGATTAATATTCTCATATAGGTCATATATATGTCGATTGATGTATGTCTTTCAAGTGCCTCCGTACAAAAAAGTAAGGGAGACAGCAATTTGGCGATTTGATATTTCGAATGAGGACTACTTTCCTATGACGGCTAAGCCTTTTAAATTGCTGTTTAACTTTGGTAAGTTTCACCTTCCATAATAAAAAATATGTCTTAAATGGGCTACCGTACAAAGACCAAGAGAGATAGAAACATGTAGGTGTTTGCGAAATTGAATGAATACTTACGTGCATTTTTCATGAAAAAAATTCAAGTTATTTTAACAATATTTAAGTTTAAAATAAGTCACATCTGAATCTGTATGCTAGTTGAAATTGAATGTGTACTCTAAGTTCAGCCCGGTGCTTTTTATTGTTTTAAAAAATAAATTTCCACTTTCACTTTCTTTTTCTTCACATACCACACACACCCTTTTCGCAGAATTTTGCACGAATATTTAGTACGACGATCAAGACAACGTTGTGAAGCACGGAAAAGAACCGTTAGTGTTAAATAGGTTATCGATTTGTATTCTATAAACTATTATGTAAGAAGATGTGGAGGAAGGTAGGTACGCCTATGAGTATTAGTAGGGGACTAGTTTGAGATAGTATGGTATGAATTTCATTAAGTTCCTATGACGGCTAATCCTCGCAAATTGCCCGTAAATTCTGATTAATATTCTCATATAGGTCATATATATGTCGATTGATGTATGTCTTTCAAGTGCCTCCGTACAAAAAAGTAAGGGAGACAGCAACTTGGCGATTTGATATTTCGAATGAGGACTACTTTCCTATGACGGCTAAGCCTTTTAAATTGCTGTTTAACTTTGGTAAGTTTCACCTTCCATAATAAAAAATATGTCTTAAATGGGCTACCTTACAAAGACCAAGAGAGATAGACACATGTAGGTGTTTGCGAAATTGAATGAATACTTACGTGCATTTTTCATGAAAAAAATTCAAGTTATTTTAACAATATTTAAGTTTAAAATAAGTCACATCTGAATCTGTATGCTAGTTGAAATTGAATGTGTACTCTAAGTTCAGCCCGGTGGTTTTTATTGTTTTAAAAAATGAATTTCCACTTTCTTTTTCTTCACATACCACACACACCCTTTTCGCAGAATTTTGCACGAATATTTAGTACGACGATCAAGACAACGTTGTGAAGCACGGAAAAGAACCGTTAGTGTTAAATAGGTTATCGATTTGTATTCTATAAACTATTATGTAAGAAGATGTGGAGGAAGGTAGGTACGCCTATGAGTATTAGTAGGGCCTAAAACTGTAATGACTTGAACCGTGTCCAATCAACTATATCGGATTGTGACTGATTTACATGTTAGAACTTGTAGCCTAACAACCTCGATAAATAGCTATTGTTGACAAACAAAACAAAAGTCTAATATAGGCCTCCTTACAAATTTTATTACAAAATAAATTAAAAGAATATTATAATACAATGGACAATGAAGTTTGTTGAGGTCAGATTGTCCTATCCTATTTGTGATTTGTGGATTCGGCAATCCTCCATAGTTACCGTAATCTGTCTCGACATGGCCCAAAAAGTACCGCCTAAATACGCCGTTGGCGTTGAGCCAAACTATGTATGAAATATTATGTAATCAGTATCGAGGTGCCTTAGTAGTAGGCTAATGAGAATAGTAAGCTGCTGAATACTATTATTCAGGTATATATGTTATCGGGTGGGGGTCAAAACGAATGAATGACCACACAGTGGATGAATTTTCAAAACTTTATTAGAACAAAACTAAAATAAACCCCTGAAATATGCAAAATGCAAAAATACATACCCAGAAGTTTAAACTAACTATGATAGCTAGCAAATAATAAGGTGAAATACCTTAAACCGAGAAATATCAATACTTATATTAAAAACTACATTTTTACCATAATAATGTGCAATAACCAAAATACTAAGGACCGTATGCTGTGCTCGAACTTAACGCTAAGTCAGACTCCGGGTAAGTCAGACTTTGTAAAGTTCGACTTTGTAACTAATTCATTTCGGTATGCATGGCTTCAACTTTAACTTATCTTTGCTAAGTTTAACTACCTCTGTGTATGTACGGAAAACCAACGATAACGCAAAGCATTATAATTTAATTTCGAATATATGTGTCAATAGAAAAAGTGATTGATACATTTTTATCGGACACTTACGGACAGCAAGAATTTGGCATGTTTCTCACGCCTTTTTCCGTGGGGTCTTTACTAAAAAAAATCTGTAGCGATGTTAAAAAAGAGAGAAAAAAAAACTGGTGGTGGTATAGTGGAGACAATGGATTCTAGTAATTCAAATCAGAAGATATGTGCTATGATACCGGCACAAATGAACCCTCTGCAGAATGATTTTGATAACGATATCGATTTCCATCAAGATAGCTTCACTTTGGCTCAGCCGACGTCAGGTTAGTTAAAGGGATACAGTTCTCTGGTTATACATAATTTGAACTTCTCAAATCCGCAAATTTCAATAATAAGTAGATATTAATATGTCACTTCGAGTTTGACAAGTGCAGTGGAAATTTCGAAAGAAGATAAATTACGGAACTGATTTCACGTTTTCGAAATAAGTTGCATATGCACGATTCGAACTGTTACGTAGCACTTTACTTTAAAGAACCCCTTTTACATTGGTACTGAATTTTTAAAATATACGTATTGTACCAGAAATCATTTCAAAAATATGCAGAACGCCATCATTCGAACATGGTAAATATCTATAATTTGGTGTAATGCTTGGAAATAATTTTCCATGGGTACAATATCTATCGCAAACGTATTTAAAGTACGGCTAAAGTCTGCTACCACCCTATCTTAGACTTTACTTTAGTTTTGTCCACAAAACGCTCGAGTAAAGCATGACTTACATCAAAGATCGAGCGCAGCATACCTAAAGTCTGAGTTTGACTAAAGTACGGCTAAAGTTCGACCGCAGCATATGGCCCTAAATATTTACAACAATTACCAAATCTAATCTTAAAACTGAACTGGAACTATATGCAAAATACTTTGAGAATGCAAAATGGCTGCCATACACTTTGCTTATATGCCTATTAATAAACTTGCAAAACCTTACAGAGCTCAATATACAGAATATTATATATCAAACATACCTTTAAAATCCAGAACTGATTTAAATGATCCTGACATAAACACAATCCATGAAATATGAATATGATAGAAATTAGTAAAACTACAAATTTCCCGCCAAAACCAGGTAGAAAAAAACTGAAACAGTCCTTTCTGTAATAAAACTAAAGGCTTAATCACAAAAAGATAGAAAAGTAAGAATGTTCAGAGTGATGAGATCACATTGGTGAGTTGAACAAAAGCTCACTATAATGGGTTAAGTATAAAGAAGATAGAACAGGGTGAACAGATTTGAGTTGATTGTTAGTATATTTGTGACTATGTGTTTAGTGTGTAATTTTGTAAACCATTAAAGCTGTGCTGAAACATAAAATCCTGTACACTATATTACATATACAAGTCTGAACGATCTGAATTTAAACCTGTGATCTAACTTTAACTCGTACCGAGGAAGGTGCATGACCCCCGTTCCACAAATATTCTTACGATCAATCTTGTGTAAGGTTTTATAACAGATAACAAGTAGAGAATATGCATTTCGGCATTTTAATACACCAATTTGATAAGAAGTTACCTACTTCTGGAGAGATTTACAAGATGAACAAATAATTCAAAAATGCAAAGCGAATGCTTCAGGAAGTTAATGAAAGGGGATCTAATTTACCATCGACAAGAACATTACTCAGATTTTTATTCCTTCTGTAAGCAAACGTTTAGTATAGATGATTCGTCCTGGAATTCTTTATAAAAGCGTTTGACAGTCACAGAGGCATTTTTAGCTATAGAATCGTAGGTGGCAACGAAAGGTATAATTTGATAGCCACGCTGGATGGATATTTAGGTTTTTTTGTAATTGGTCTATTCAGATACTCCCCCTTTGTAATCGCTTGGTGCTTGAGGTGCTGCAGGTAACTGTGTTGGTGATGGCGTGCGTTTCCGTCTTGGTGTGGCGGCGGTGGCGTGATGGCTTCTCTGTGGAAGCTTGTTTGCAGGTGGACTTCGAGGAATATGTTCTTCACATTTCTATGTATCAAATTATCAATAATTCCTTATGTGCTAATGCCACATCTGTTGCCCATAATTTGTTAACTGCCTCGATAGCCGGTGGGTTTGTAAAGCTGGTTTTACAAACCAGTTTAGATCATTTATTTTATATATAAACCCACTCGAAATTATAGAAGCATGGTGAAGACACTGAATTAGTTGAAATAGCATCTTCACTTTAGGATTAGTTGTGTCATGTCTCTGTCTATGATGATAAGGCAGTTGGTTGAATCGGGTAACCTGATGAGGCCTGTAGTAATGCTGGTGGAATTGTGCTGAATGTCTCTCATTATAGTATGGAACTGGACGATGTTATACATTTCGTCTCGATCTGGTTGGATCTGGGGTCCATTATCGTAAATCAGAGTTTATATGAATATACAGGTGTTTAATACAAAATAATGATAACACCTTACAACAACAAAAATATGCGATCAAGATTTTGCTAATGTAGCTTCTTCAGTCTTGTAAAACTCTACACCTAAATGATATAATATATAGACAGATTCTGCTTCACGGAAACTGTCGAGGATTGCCTGGACATAGTACCGGTAAATAATAGCTGCCATTCAATTCCATAATATGTTTCGAAGCTCAAAAGAAAAACATTCACGGTAGACCGTTTGTCTTGTTGCATGAAATCACAGTTTTTACAGTGTTTAAATGGTGGCCATGTTCACTGTACTTTATCCAGATTCTCATAGACTGATCTTTCTTATTGGTGTGTTTCAGTAACATTGAATTGAACAAGATCCCGGATATTTTGATTCGAAGAAAACCAACCATGGGTATGTTACTTTTTTGATACCTCTGGTCGACCATGAGTTGATCAACATAGATGAATATATTTTGAAAATTTACAGTGACTAAATAGTCTATTATTACCATCAGCCTTAATTAAGAAAAAGAGCATGCTATATATTATTTGTTTAATCATTAATTGCATTGCACCTACATCACACAATAGCACAATTCCCAACAAATTGAACACATGGAGTTGTGAAGTCACTGATTGTACTTTGTACTGACTGACCAAATAAACTTCAATTGACTCGAGCAAATGTCAAGCTCTTACTTACTTCGTCTTGTACCTTGACTGCAATAACAGCCTTTCTTGTATAACGAAAAGTTTGTAAATGCAGCTATTTGGTTGGATTGTACGATAGCGAAAACAGGCATTCCAAGAAAGTAAAAAATGAGCCATAATGGCTTTTTTCTCTGTTAATATTGTCCCATCACGCACAATTTTCATATTCTTATCATTTAGAATCAGATGAAACATCGGATGAAGATTTCTCTGATATTGTATTAGCTCCAATCATAGATCAATTGAAACGTCTACTAGAACAATATTCAGATGGACAGATTATTAAGGTAAGTTTTATATTGATATACTTGTATTGTTACTATTGTGTTGAAATAACTTAAATCCAGATTGTCACGCGATAATGTGATTCTTGATGAGTTTGTAAATAAAGCCAATTAAAACTACGTAAGATATGAATTCAAAATGATAATTAATTGTTTAATTGGTTAATCGAAGGTCTCAATATTTTGGATCAAATGCAGTGTCAGTATTACCCCCCTAAAGTGGCGGTGATTGCCGAATGATCAAGGCCGTGCAATGTCATTCTCCATTAGCCTCAGATGCAGCACCAATATTTGCCTTTATCATTAATTGAGACGAGTCGCAGAATTTCGCACAAATTCTCAGAAGTTTATCTTTCCAAGAGAATGTCAATAAAAGCGTCGGAGTATTGATTGAATCTGAAGTGTGCAAGATGAAACAGATCTCTATCAGCTGGTGAAGCAATGATTTAAATGACCATCTTTAATTTTAAATAGGAACTGATACAAAATGCTGAAGATGGTGGAGCTACAGAAGTTAAGTTTCTATACACTGGTAAAAAACAAGAAGAAATTAAATATTCTAAAAAGACATGGAAAGAAACACCAATTAAAATTGCGATGCAGGTAATCAAGCAATGAATAGCGTTATAACATTATTCATGTTAACTCGCATTCAAAAAAACCACCGTAATTTTGTGCGATTTGGACACTTGATGTCAAAAATGATAAATTTATATATACTCGATTTATAAGTCTCATTGATAATGTTATTAGGGTTGGGTGGTCCGAGGTCGAAACCTGGAGAAGAGTGTTATCAGGGTCGCTGAACACGAATCCGTTGAGATTTTTTTGCTCAGAGGATGCTTTAGTTCGGTAAATAGTAATTTATTCAAAATGGCGGCCGAAATAGAGCCAATAAGACGATTTTGACGGACCATTGCCGCAATGATACCTTGCAATATGTCCTTCTATAGGTTTTTGGGTATGAAAAAGTCAAATCTGACGTAGAAAACAGGAAGTGAGTATAGGGGGCGCAATGGTGGACAAATTTAATATTTTTGTCTAAAGTGAAGAGTTTTGCAATTCATGCTTTTCATGCGAAAATTCATTTCCCACAGTTTCAGATGGCCCTAGTGAGCACATCGGCATTGTGTACCTGGCTAGTACTTCGTAGCATACAGTTTACTATGGTTTCCATCAAATCTTTTTGTTTTGGTCTGGTTCTAATTGTAGCATCTAGCCAGAACATTTCTGGAACATCAAGAGCCCAATAAGATGTTGATATCCAATCGAACAATCAGTACTGGCAGTTTCGGCCTATGTTGACAATGATTGGTACAGATGATGTGTGGAAGTGTATGCTGAAGTTGGGGATATAATCATTATTCCTTTTTGGTATACGAAAAACAAATATAAATAATGCGATCTCTCCTCGAGTGGTATCAGAGACGTTTTTGGCCATTAACTCCCAGAAATAAAAATAAAATGTGACAATTTAGAATCCGTCAGTACCGGAAAAGATCGACTTCTGGCAGGTGTTGGATGAAGCCATAGATACCCTGGAACGTCAGCTATCAGACATTCGATTAAGGGTGAAATACTGCATCGAAAATTGACAAACGTAGGTTGCAAAAGTCGTTTCTGGTCGTTTCATGTTTTAGTAAGTACGCAAATGACGAAAGTCAAAGTCAACGGACAATCAAAAATGCAAAGATTAAGCACGATGAATCAGAATCAGAAATAACTGTTGATGTGAACATACTTCTGTTCGGCATATTGAATTGAATTTAGTGTTAAACGCTGTTAATTGAAGGATTGGTAGTCTCCAGCTTTGGTTGAATATTGTCGGAATGAGCATTGAGAAATGTGAACACAATTGTCTTCAGAATTTAAAAAAAGTCAGCTTTTTCGCTATTCCAACCCCCTACACACATGATGGTTCAATTTGGACATCAAATTTGACTTTCCCGACCCGTAAAATGATATAAAACAAGGCATTATTGCGGACATCGTGGCCCAGAATCTGCTAATTGCACTATATTAGCCCCCAAAATTGCAATTTACCGAACTTGAGACATCGGATGGAAAAAAAACTCAACGGATTCGTGTTCTGTGAACCTGATAGCACCTAAAACACTCTTCTAGTATTCAAAATCGAAAAAATGTATTTTCCACCCAAGCCTAATGTTATATAAGAACAAAATTCTTTCCAATGTAATATTGTACTCATACTATAATTTTTAAAATTATTGCCCTTTTAAGAATTCCTTGTAGGCCTAATGTATATAAATGTTTACTTTCAAGGCACCTGCTCTATGTGTATACAACAATGGCATATTTACTGATAAAGATTGGAAAGGTATTGCTGCCATACAGTGTAGTCAAAAAGAAAAGGAACCTTTGAAAGTTGGTAGATTTGGATTAGGATTTAAATCTGTTTTCCACTTAACAGGTAATTAAGTGCACGTATTTTCTTTGACCCTCTGTGCTCACACTATAGGCTTAACATCCTCACACTTTACCTGAACATACACCTCACATCCACACACTTTACCTGAACATACACCTCACATACTCACGCTTTACCTGAACATAGAGCTCACATCCACACACTTTACCTGAACATAGAGCTCACATCCACACACTTTACCTGAACACACATAATAAGTCGTACATCCGCACACTTCACCAGCTTATAGGTCTCACATCCCAACATTTCAACTGGTTATAGGTCTTACATCCCAACATTTCAACTGGTTATAGGTCTTGCATCCCAATATTTCAACTGGTTATAGGTCTTACATCCCAACATTTCAACTAGTTATAGGTCTCACATCCCAACATTTCAACTGGTTATAGATCTCACATCCCAACATTTCAACTGGTTATAGGTCTTACATCCCGACATTTCAACTGGTTATAGGTCTTACATCCCCACATTGCAACTGGTTATAGGTCTTACATCCCAACATTTCAACTGGTTATAGGTCTCACATCCCAACATTTCAACTGGTTATAGGTCTTACATCCCAACATTTCAACAAGTTATAGGTCTTACATCCCAACATTTCAACAAGTTATAGGTCTTACATCCCAACATTTCAACTAGTTATAGGTCTTACATCCCAACATTTCAACTGGTTATAGGTCTCACATCCCAACATTTCAACTGGTTATAGGTCTCACATCCCAACATTTCAACTGGTTATAGGTCTCACATCCCAACATTTCAACTGGTTATAGGTCTTACATCCCAACATTTCAACTGGTTATAGGTCTTACATCCCCACATTTCAACTGGTTATAGGTCTCACATCCCAACATTTCAACTGGTTATAGGTCTTACATCCCAACATTTCAACAAGTTATAGGTCTTACATCCCAACATTTCAACTGGTTATAGGTCTTACATCCCCAGATTTCAACTAGTTATAGGTCTCACATCCCAACATTTCAACTGGTTATAGGTCTTACATCCCAACATTTCAACAAGTTATAGGTCTTACACCCCAACATTTCAACTGGTTATAGGTCTTACATCCCAACATTTCAACTAGTTATAGGTCTTACATCCAAACATTTCAACTGGTTATAGGTCTTACATACAAACATTTCAACTAGTTATAGGTCTTACATACAAACATTTCAACTGGTTATAGGTCTTACATCCCCACAATTCAACTGGTTATAGGTCTCACATCCCAACATTTCAACTGGTTATAGGTCTTACATCCCAACATTTCAACTAGTTATAGGTCTTACATCCCAACATTTCAACTGGTTATAGGTCTTACATCCCAACATTTCAACTAGTTATAGGTCTTACATCCCAACATTTCAGCTCGTTATAGGTCTTACGTCCCAACATTTCAACTGGTTATAGGTCTTACATCCCAACATTTCAACTGGTTATAGGTCTTACATCCCAACATTTCAACTAGTTATAGGTCTTACATCCCAACATTTCAACTAGTTATAGGTCTTACATCCCAACATTTCAACTAGTTATAGGTCTTACGTCCCCACATTTCAACTGGTTATAGGTCTCACATCCCAACATTTCAACTAGTTATAGGTCTTACATTCCCACATTTCAACTGGTTATAGGTCTCACACCCTCACACTGTACCTGAACATACATCCCACATTCTCATTGCACCTGGCTAAACCTCCTGCACTTCACCTGAACATACATCTCACATTCTCACTGGACCTAGTTACATATCTCATATCTCCGACACTTCACCTTGTTAAATATTCGACATCGCCACATCTCACCTGAACGTACATCTCACATTCTCACTGGACCTGGTTAAAAATCTTACATCCCCCATGTTCCTTTAGCAACGGTACGATGATAATGATCATCTCTACGTTGCTCTCACAATCATCCCATATTCTCGTCATTAATTTTGATTGGTAGAGAGTTTACTTATTAATTATATTCATTTTGCGGGGAAATGTTTGAATAACCAGACGCAAAATTTGAAGTACCGAATTTACTTTCTTTTAAATCTCGTTACCGGGGAAAATCCCACCTGAAAACTTAAAATTAATTTATAATGGAAGGAAGCGTTAGAATTTTCTGAAATTTTTGATGAATATTAAGGACACGTGTTAGTACCTTTGGTGGGAATCTGCAACAGTTTCCGATGATTCAATGAATGTCGCCATTTTCAATCACCTTCCTTTTACTCCAATTATTACGAGATTCCTGATTGGATATATCGAATGGTGACGTATGGTCTGCCAAGGAAGGTTATTATTCTGTAATGACGAGAATATGGGATTGTTCAAGCAACGGTTAGGTGTGAATAATCATCGTACTGTTGCTAAAGGAACATGTACATCCCCGCACTTCACATGGTTATAGGTCTCACATCCTCTCACTGAACATTATTTATTGATGTCATTGTTTTTATTTCAGATTTTCCATTGATACTAAGTGGGGACAAGGTAATGGTGATGAACCCATTAGCCAGTGTATCAAAGGTAGTATTTAGTAAGAAGCTTTGCAAGATCGACAAAGATTCTCAGAGGACAATATTAAAGTTGATAGGCGATAAGTTTGGATTTTCAAGGCTCTGTTTCAAAGATGGATACCAGGGTACATTGTTTTGGTTCCCATTGCGAACAGAACCTTCGAAACTGTCCCGTGATACGTATACATATGAGAAAATTCAAGACATATTTCATGGATTTAAAGATTTGGCACCATCTATTCTATTGTTTTTAAAGAAAATTGAATTTATAGAAGTGTTTGAAGAATCAGAGAATGATTTGATTTATCGAGTACAGATATCTGCCAAGAAAGAAGAGGACATTCATCATATTCGTGAGCAGAGAGGAGATTTTTTACACCAAGTTGTAGAATTGAATGGGAAATTGGCTAATGAATATCTTTTCCATTATATGAAACTTTCTATTAAATGTGAAGGGAAGAAATGGTTATCAGAAGAAACAAATACAAAAGATTGGATTGTGGTAAATCATTATCATGGAGGATCTGTAAGTGATGGTCTACAGAGATTAATAGATGATGAAGAATGGTCTTATAGTCCATATGTCAGTGTAGCAGGATGCTTATCAAATTGTGATGAACAGTTTAAAGGACACATATATTGCTTTTTACCACTACCGTTAGAACGCACTAGCCCTACTGGCTTGCCAGTTCATATCAATGGGTTCTTTGCTTTGAGCCAAGATCGTCATCATATTAAATGGATGTCATCAGAAGAGGAAAATCGGACTGGTCACTCAGAAAATGCTGTAGAATGGAACAAAATTTTGGCTACGGAAATCTTGCCCATGGTATATTCAGAATTGCTAACATATTTGACTAAAGCTGGTATTGACACGAATACAATATATAAATTGTTTCCTAAACCCGAATTGATTACTGAAAACTGGAAGATATTTATCAAACCACTTTTTAAACAACTCTACGAGAAAAACATCATCTTTACCAAGGCTTCTGGTGGAAAATGGATTAAACCTAAAGAAGCTACTGTGTTGGTAAAGGAAGAATATCCAGATACTACTTTAAAGGTTATAGAAGATGTATATTTATTAAAGAAAACGAATGTAGCTTGTCTTCCAGATGTTTTTGTGGAATCTTTAAAGTCACATGGCCGGATTGAAGTATCTGATTCGTCATGTTTACATTCTTTTTTGATTAATCATGATGATATATTTGAATTGATGGACATCAATCAGAAGATGAAACTACTAGAATATTTCATATCTAATGATATCGAAAAACTGCAAGATCTGAAGATATTGCCATTAGCTAATGGTGAATTTAATATATTTGATGCTGAAGAAGAGACTGTATTCTTGTGTGAAGCAGAGAGTTTGAAATTATTCCCGGGAATGGAATCAAGGTTTCTGCTAGATATATCTCAAAAACTGATAGGTATTCCAAATTTCATTTATATAATGTTTATAACACACAATTTATAACATTGTTTTAATGATATGGATCGTCATCACTCTTTATATTGACTATATTGTGTGTCCGCATCTAATTTGAGCATCTGAGCATGTAGAATATTATCACGAGGTTGACGCTGATGAAACATTATTCTTTTATTGCCTTGGACCCGATTGTGTTTTATAAGCAAGCTAGACTGATTTCAGTTTTTGATCGATTTCTGTTTTGAGTAAATGTGATTTTCAAGCTATCTTGGTTCTTTGCATTTCAGATCGGTTCCAAGTTAAACAACTAATGTCTGAGCATATTCCAGAATTACTCCAAGAATGTATAGAGATTAACAGTTTCAGGCATAAAGAGATCACACCACAAATTACTGATTGGTTGAATGTCGTATGGAAATATATACACAAAAATGAGGATGTTTTCCAGTTATCATGGATTTCACATTTACATTTACTACCATTTCATAAAGAAAACAAACTCATCCAAGTTGATTCAGTGTCTATTTTGAGTTCAAGAAAAAACATGGACACTTTAGATCCACAGTTATCGAATTCTCTTGAAAACCTTGGTGTAAAGATTATCACCTCACTCTCTAATACAATATCAGCACTAGTGGAGGGTAAATTTGTACAGTATCCTACAACTGAAGGTATATTTAACTGTATGAAGAAAATAACGAGTAAACAACAAATAGAACAGTTTAACCAAGCTGCCTCAACCAAGGAAAGAATTCAACTTCTTGAAAAATTTACAAACCTTTTTGGTGACCAGGTTTTTCAGATATCTGAGCTTGTTCGAAAACTGGAAATATTTGAGT